CGCACCATTTATGAAAGAAATAAAAAAAGAAATAAATGCATAGTGATGTAGCTGGCGTTGCCATTGAATGGCTTACTCACAGCAATTGGTCTCGGTGTTTCTTTCTCTTTTCCGTGTTTGTCTCTTCGTACTGCTTCATTTAGATATACCCAGTTGAACTGATACAAGACGTACAGCGGCTGATCAGTCGTATATGGCTGCTGCGCAGCACACGAGACTAAATATGTTTACAAGGGCACGTTGAATTACTTCGGACGACTTATCTTGTTCGTCTGACCATTACTACCGTAGTGGCTCTATGCACAAATAGTAGGATGGGACATCCAAACGTAACGCCTGATTAATGTCGACACTTTCAAGCGTTGTTGTTCTCTCCTTTGCCCAGAGCCTTGTCCAAGGTCGCCTTGGCGCTGTCGGCAGCAGAGGCAGCCTGTTCTTTGCCCTTGTTCAAGGCGTCGTTTGCAGTCTCGCCTGGCTTCTCTTCTCAAGAATGAGCATCATATAGTGGAATAGAGCAGAATCAGAGCTTAAGTTTCAAAACTGCTACTTACCGTAGACTGTAGATCCGTTAGCTAAATTTCCTATATACACCTAGAAGGTGTTTTTAGAATTGTACATACACTTATTGATTTGATCTTTGGCGGATTCTGTGGTGTCATTGAAACCCTTCTTGAGCTTATCCATGTCCATTGTGCTTTTCTGGTAGTAATTGCGGTTCTGTCAGTTTAGTATCATCAGAACTCCATGTATGGCTAGGTGAGTCCCATACCGATTAGAGCAATATATATCCTCGAGAACAAAGGAGAACGGGAGATACGTATGTATGTATATAGATAAACAAGAATATAGAAGAGCCTTTTAACTCAGGTACCCGAAGTTTTATATATCCAAGGGACCAGGAGATCAGACCAGACCAAAGCAACCAGTATAACTTAATGGTTACGTATATAACCTCCTTAATGCAACCCTGCGGCCTCGTAACCGTGGAATGGCATACTCGTCCCTCAGGTTGCAGTTCCAGTTGCTTTCCGAATGCTGCAATAGCTGCAATCTACGATCTTGGCAACCATTGCCGGACGGTGTTATTGGCCATGTATGCGTGGATGGATAAAATAGTGTTACAGGTGTACAGAGTATTGATGATACGTGTTATTCTATTGCTTACTATGTACCAATCTCCTGGTGATCTCATCATATTTTGGAATTTGTCCTGAGAATTGATCTCTGTACATTAGTATCTGTGTCTTTGTTCCCGAGTCAGGTTTAGCGCCGCCGTGATTGGGTTTGGCGGCCCGTGCCTTTTAGTCTGTACTACTTTCCCTTAATCGGGCACCAAGTAAAGTTCATCGATGTATCGGAGAATTTCTTATCATCCGTACATGCTCAGGTTGTACTGTATGAAGGCAAAGATCGACTTGGCGTGTTGTTTTGGAGAGATGATGCTTCCGTCTTCGGCGGAGTTTTGCAGACTTGTTGGTGATGGGACTATTCCGGTTCATTAGTTATGCCTTTCTTTTCTTTGATCTGAGATGTTTTTGTTCCGGAGAGGTAGAGCATCTTGGTTGTCTGATTCGGATGTTATACTTGGGTTTGGATAGTTATGAAATTAGGAGCCTCTTTCCCCAGTAGTCATTGTTGAAAATCGTATTAATTCATGGTATCGAGTATATAAATTCACAAGTAACCAATTCCAAACACGCTATAGATACATAACCATAATTTGAAGCAAGTATACAAGCTTATAACCTCTTCAGCAACCACCTCCACCACAGCCTCCACCACCACCACCTCCTCCTCCACAGCCCCCGCCTCCGCCTCCACCACTGCTACTCCCGCCGCAACCTGCGCTACCACCTCCTGATCCACATCCACCCGCTCCTCCGCCCCCTCCCCCACCAGCACATCCACCAGCGCATCCCCCTCCCATTCCACCGCAGCCGCCTGCCGCAACAGCGCCTCCACAGGTCCCTGCAGCACAGTTGCCAGGGGCCCCGGTGACGAAGCTCATACAACCTGGATTTGAAGCATATGCATTGGAGTGCACGCAGGGGTCACCCATGTACGGGGCATAGTATGGCACATATACCGGATAACCATATGCCATGGCATAAAGGCTGGCATCTGAAGCACGGTCCCGTTCCTTGTTGCCTTGCTTGCTGTCTCGCTTCTCTGCACGACGGCGTGCCCTTTGGTAGTTGCTTTGAAGCTTTAGATACTTCACGTATCGAGGATCGAAGCCGGCACGTGTCTTCTTTGTTTCCGCTGGGACAGCACTGTGCGCGGAGATATGGGGGTTCTTGTCCGGATCCGAAGATATATCTGGCCGATTGTGGAGATTGGCGGCTGCTTCGCGAGCCCGGGAGGTTGACTGGGAGACAAAGATGCCGTCGCTGAGATCCGGAGCTCGAATAGCCTCACAGTACCAGCAAGTGCACTCGCTGTAGATATCACCTTTGGTGAGTTTCTTGTACATTTTGCTAGTCCACTCGAATGCATCCGACAGTTTGGTTTCTTCGACTTTGTCGTCATGATCAATGAAATTCGGAACCCTGGTGTGTTGCCGTGTTGTAAAGATGGAGTAGTCAAAATATCTTGAAGGCGTCAGTTGATGCGTATGCCAGGCGAGATCGACATCCAGAGTTGGGACAGCCATGTTGCGTGGGTTTTGTGCTATGATTTGGAAGAACACTTCATATTTTCTAATCAAGCGGTCCATGGTTGCCTTCACGGTAGGCGAGTGGAGCCAATCAATGTTGTCCATTTTTTGAACAAAAGTCCCTTGTCGAATGACAGCACCAACCAGGTCTAGAGCAAACGGAGTATGATTATCCCAGTAGCGAGCCATCATCCGACGGAACGCCACCTTCTCTTCTGGATATAATGAGGAAATGCCTGAATCTGGGTTGACCCTCCGCATGATGTCCCGACTCTTGATCTTGGACTGTAGAATGTCGCGCAATGCCGCCATTGTCCTGCAGCTATTGTCCGTTGGGTCGGTCTGAGAAAGAATAATGGTACCTATCGCCTTGATTAAACGATTAGGGAATATGGACTGCCTCTTCTTTCGACTCGAGACCGTGACGGCTTTTGGCACACCCTTAACATCATAAAACGTTCCAGGCATCGGCACATCCGAAGCCCAAAAAGCCCTAACATCTTTCCGAAACTTCTCGATCTTTAGTCGCTCGTGTGTGATTTGAAAGTTACAGCCTGGACATGTCTTTTGGAAATTTTGATCTGCGAAGCCACGGCAGTAGTCAAATGCTTCATCGAGTGGGACGGATATCTGCGCTTCGGTCCAGGGCACGGACAGCTCGTGCTTACAGCTAGGACAAGTGAGGGGCTTCTTCGATGAACATTTCAGATTGTCCCAGGGCAAACCAGTTTTCTGCTGAAAGCGGGCTACCGCTGCCTGTCCAGCGCGGTATTCCATGGTTTGATCGTCGAGACAGGAGTTGATGACTTCCCAAGGGAAACCAGCCGCCCAAAAGCCCATGGCACCCCTCCGAATGCAATCTTCAAGAAAGACCCTAGGGTTCAGCATATGTGCGTGCCACACCATTAGAATATCTGATAGAGAAGTCTGTCAGCAGCTTGTGGTAGTTGGTAACGACCGGTTCAAGGCTTGGCTCACCTAGAGGGGGCATTGTCTTTGAAGACCAGTTGTACGGCTGGGCCTGCTCGGTAATCGAGTCATAACTGTCGTCCTCTAGGTCATGGAGCTTGGGGCATCGTTCAGGGGATTGAATGCACTTCTGCCACCAAGTCGTGTAGCGGTCGACCGCCCTGGCTGTGTACACAGCCCATCGCTTTTCTTTGACACGAGCACATGCCTCATCTATGCTATCTCCAAAAACAGCTGGGTCAGGATCATTGATGTTAAATAAATGGTTGATACTTGTTATGTTGTCGCGTAGATCGGCGAGTGCTGCTAAAAACTTGAGATGAGCAATACATTGGTCTTGGGTGACCGTCGAACAAACAGGGGGCCCAGCCGTTTGGAACAAGTCCAGCGGTGGTATTACTAGGGGAGGCTCGTCAATCTGACCGTACGCGGGAGGTTCAACCTCCACGACGTCTTCCGTGATCTTTTCGAAAGGAGACGATTTCATCTTGTTCAAACGACTGAAAGTTCATATGCATGAGATATCGGTATTCGGTCAGCATGGAATGAATTATGCTGGTTTATATGTAATGAATACCCTTAGATTTAAGACCTTGTGATGTCAGAAGATGGCTTGGTGATGCCGGGCAAACGATACAATGGGGGCAATGATCCATGGGCGAGCGAATCAAAGACTAAGAATATCATTGTGGAGGGTTGTGACGAACACATCTGCATCTGTGGAGAGGCATTGTTTCTAGAAAGTCGGGCAACCCACTAGTGTTGCATTGCAGTAGCAACCAACAAGCTTTTCTGTCCATCACCAGCATGGAGGGCGATCATTGGGATACGTCCTGGCGGCAGTGCAAGGCTCAATGCCTATCATGGGGCAATGAGCCACACAGCCTCGGGAATACGATGAGTAGTTAATTTTAGGGGGGTGATCCCTAGCAAACTCGGTAACATTTGACGATACGAAGCGGTTCCAAGTGTCGGCTAACTTTCGATCTCTCTGTTCTAGCGGACATCGAGATGTGTGAGAAGATTCCAAGCGATATGGAATGGGAGATCTACAATGCAACGAGGCGGAGAAATGCGGCTCGTATACTCTTTCACATGAAGTGCATTTGCCAAGTCACTTAGACTAGTATGACAGGTACTAGACAGGGAAACACATAAACATCGTCAAGTAGTATTCCGAACTAGAGAGAGAGAGAGAGAGAGAGAGTTAATCTTAGAGCGTAGTACTAAGAGAAGGGGTCCTGCTAATCTCCATCTCATGAAGCCTTCCCGTTATCATCACGTGTGACGGGGGAGCCACGTGAGAGCGAGATCGGACAGCTTCTCAATCGCTTCCCCCCCCACTCACTGTTGTTACTCATCCATCGCTGAGGGGATTTGATCATCCAGTCGACCGAGTTGGAAGAGACGGTAGTTTGAAAATAGTCCATATTATTTTGTGTGATATCTATACCCTGTATTCATTAGCTTATTGTTCTATTATTATTTTGTTCCCTCCTCCCTCCTTCCCCCCACCCGGCTCTTGAGTTTGTGTGGAAAATTACGTGGTGATTAACCACGCCAATCTTTTTTTTTTCTGCCGTCCGAGCTTTATCGGTCGACTCACCCGCAACCAGCCTGGCGTCACTCGGAGCACTGCCCAGCGGAATCGGAGGCGGGAGCCTGCAGGGGGGAATTCTGGAGCCAAGTGCAGGGAATAATGCTCCTGCTGCCACCAGTCCCGTAATGGGAGGTGTCAGCCATCCATCTGCTTCGGCTACTGGCGGGCCCGATGGCGTGGGACCGGCCAGGAAGCGCACTGTCGCCATGGCGGGGTTAGACAGTTCTCCTGGCAGTGTGGATGACGTGGAAGAGAACGAGCTTCGTGAGGAGAAGAAAAGGCAGCCTGTGAAGCGTGCCTGCAACGAATGTCGTCAGCAGAAGGTGAGCACCTGAACCACCCAAGTCTATCCTTATTGCCCTCCCGGGCTAGACTAATCCCATACTTCGTTACGGCAGTTGCGCTGCGATGTAGTTCAAGACCCATGGATGGACTGCTCCCGTTGTCGTCGCTTGAAACTTGACTGTAAAATCGAATCCAACTTTAAGAGAATTGGGAAGCGCAGTCGCAATGCGGAGATGGAAAGAGAGATCATCGAGCTGAGGAAGCAGATTGCCAACGTCCAGGCGAATGCTGTCACGTCCATGCCCCAACAACAACACCAACAACAACAACCACCGTCCATACAATCTGCCCAACACACTCCCAAACAGGAACCCTCTAGCCATGTCAGTCCGGCTGGCGTTTATCACACACCCTCTGGCATGTCTTCCGATCAGTACATGGGCTCTCACGAAGCAGTCGCATCGCTTTTGGACCTCCGTTCGGGCTTCGATAGTTCCAACTATATGAGAAATGGGAGCCACCACTTCAAGCGGTTAGAAGATGTTGTTGTCGTGCCGGAGAGGGTGACAGAATTGTTTGATCTGTAAGTCTCGACCTAGATATGGTGCCTTGGGGACAGGTCCTAAAGCTGCTAGGTACTTTACGTTCTATCATCCGTTTCTTCCATTCCTTGAACGAGGACAATCACCCGATGAATATTATAACGCATCACCCTTACTGTTCTGGACTATCATTAGCGTTGGGGCACGGCGTTATCAGCCCGATACGCACCTTTTGAACTCTCTGGCAGGCCCCGTTTCGCGTCTGGTATGGAGTACGTTGGCAGACATTCCACAAAGCTATCATGTCGTGAAAGCTCTTTGCTTGCTTTGTACATGGCCATTCCCTACAAGCAGTACCTCTACCGACCCCACCTTTATGCTCTGTGGAATGATGATGCAGGTGGCCATGCAGCTCGGTCTGCACCGCCCGTCATATGCTCAAGATTTCAGTAAATTCAGGGTGGAGCTTATCGAAGAAGAGCTGAAAGATAAAGTGAGGACGTGGGCGATCTGCAATATCGTTGCCCAACGGTATGTCTTCACTCAATGATTTAAACTTCTGGGATCATCTTTATTCTGACAGGCGTTATCTAGGGTTGCGACCGGGTACGGGCAGCCACCGTCCACTTGGTATGACTGGACATTGTCGAGCGAGTCACTGGATCCAAACTACAAGCTGCCTGAAGGTATCCGTGCGCGCCTTCAGATCGAAAAATTCTGTGACAAGGTCACCAGAGCACTCTATACCAACCACCGGGACCCTGTTGGGCTCTGTAATGACCAGGAACGATCGACGATGATCTCCTTTTTTTCTCGGGATTTCGATGAACTCGAGTCGCAGCTGAAGGCTCAGAATGATTGTGAGCTTTACCCATGGAGACATGATTGCGAAACATACTAATGTGCCCAGGCATTACCGATCTTTACCTTCGCGCTGCCAACCTGCACTTACATTTGTCGGTCTTCTTCGATGACACTACTGAGAAGGACTACCGTGACCGTCTTCTTTCTTTGTATGTTGCAACCAGGACATTTCTGGAGGCTGCTATGAACCTAGAGACGGAGGTTGGTCCGGTACTCTCGTACACGCCGTATTACATCTATCAGATGATGGTAGCAGCAGGCTGTACGCTGCTGAAGCTCGGCACGAGCTTTTTTGCCTCTCACATAAATATGGATTATACCAAGACTCTTTTCAACCGGACCATTTGGGCTATCCGGGGAGTATCAGTGTCAAGTAATGACCTCCCGGAGCGGCTGGCCGAAGTTCTAGCCCAGATGTGGAGGCTGCAGAGTACACCAAGCCCCAAACCGACCACCGAAAGTTCGGAGATGGACGATTCCTTGATGCTGAAAGTCCGGTGCCGCATGAGTATGTCGCTCCTTTTTGACTCGGTGTGGCGATGGCGAGAAGACGCTCGGACGAAAGGTCGGAATCTCGAAGGTTTGTTTATCCAAGCGAAGACGCGTTGTGTGGCTAGGGACTAATCAGAAATGCAGCCTATCTCAAGAACCCGACCAACCCAGATTCTAACGCTGAATCTTCTGCAGCATCATCCGTTGGAGCTGCACATACTTCTAGCTCGACTCCTGGTATTGGTGGTGATCCTAGCCTGGCACCTGCTCCCATTCTTCCGCAAGTCACGTTGGGCGTTCAGTCTGGTAGCAGCGTCCCGGGTCTACCAAGCGGCCTTATGGAGCCCAACTACGAAGTTTTTGACCCATTAAATTGGCTGCTGGATGGTTTGGTCGACTTGCCATACTCATATTCTACGATGTCAGGGATGGAGGCTCAAGGTATCGCATAGCCTTGACCGACAATGTTTTGATTTGCTACTATGTTACGATTACTGGCGTTTTACCGGCTGATTTACTACATATCCTGCGTGTATTTGTATATATATACCCGAGGAGTCTGGTCGAACTGTTTGAATAATGCATTGCTGCTCTTCGAGACCACAGACATGGACGATTTTCAGACGATCACCATTGACGAAGAAATGATTATTATTAAGATTCCCGTTACATGCAAGATCAAGATACGTATAGGACGTCCATGGTAGGACAAGTCCAGGCTATGGATCTTAAGCCGCTGAACTAATTAACAGTGTACCTCTAATAGCTAATATTCACCTCCTATTAAGTTGAAACCAAGCTTAAGCACCTCCCGTCAAGAGCTCACTAGCAGGTCTTAAGTGAGGCTTAGCCATGGGACTAAGTAAAAGCACTAATGCTTAGCGGAGGGTCTGGAATCCAACATGGACAATACGAGAATCCTTCCTTTGCTTTTAATATCGTATCACTAGTGCTTATTCCTCAGGAGGTTAAAGAACATCGTAATTTATAAGGAATGTACATACCCTGGGACACCAGATCAACCTTTCTTCTCTCTGAAATCCAATTGACACAACAAGCATGCAACGCGGCACATCTCCTTTTACCCCCGAATTCGATGATCTCGTCCACACCCTTCTAGCCACATGGCACGTTCCAGGCACATCGATCGCCATCATCGATGGACCGGATACATTCACCAAGGTATATATACACCCCTTCACCACTATATACACCAACCCACCTAACCAAGGCAATCAACCGAATAAATAAATAAATAAATAAATAAATAAATAAAAAAACCAGGGCTACGGCATATCCAAATATCCCAACACACCCGCCACCCCACAAACCCTCTACTACACAGCCAGCACCACCAAATCCTTCACAGCAGCAGCCCTATCCCTCCTCATTGACGACAAGTCTCAACCCCTAACCTGGACAACACCGCTTTCAAGCATAATCCGCTCCGACTTCGTCCTTCCAGACGCCTACGCCACCGAACATATCACCCTGGAAGACGCCCTCTCCCACCGAACAGGCCTCCCAGAACACTCATACCATTTCCGGCCCGACAACTCATCCACCCCCAAAGACGAGGTAAGAAGGCTCCGCCATCTACCCATGACCGCCGCGATCCGGACGAAATACATGTACAACAGTTTCATGTACACGGCTGTGTCGCACGCGATTGAAACCCTCACCGGGCGTGACTTGGGGGTCTTCCTCCGAGAAAGAATCTGGGGTCCACTACACATGGACGCTACGTATTGGACGCTCCGGGATGCGGTGGATAGTAGGCCGGATGAGTTAGCTGGGGCGTATGTCTGGGATACCTCTTCTTCTTCTTCTGGGTTCGTCGGGATAGACCACCCCGAGTATACAGAGTTATCGGGGGCCGGGTGTATGATCAGCAGTGTAGAGGATTATGCGAAGTGGGTTCGGTGCATGATGGATCAGAGCAGGCCATTGAGCAGGGACGGACATGCCGCGCTGGTGGAGCCGCGGGTAGTGACGATGACCGGGGCGACGAATCCGTTCCCCGGGCCGCATCTGTATGCGCTGGGGTGGCGGGTGGATTCCTATCGGGGGGAGAAGGTTGTGTGGCATACGGGGAGTATTGGGGGGTTTGGGTCGGTGATGATGTTTCTCCCTGGGCGGGACTGGGGACTGGTTATGATGGGGAATTCGACGGTGACGAGTAATCAGATGCAGCAGGTTTTGTATATGGATTTGTTAGATGGGTTGTTGGGGACGCCGGTTGGGGAACGGGTGGATTGGGGAGCGGTTATTAGGGAGAAGCAGGAGAGGCGGAGGGAGGAGTTGGCGTGTGTGAGGCATCGCCTGTATCCGCGTTTGCCTTGTCCGGTTTTGAGGCCGGCGTTGGAGGTTACGGAGTATGCGGGGGGTTATTGGCATCCCGGATATGGGGCTATGGATTTGAGCCTGGATGTGGAGGGGAAGGGGCTCGTTGCTGATCGGCGGAGTCAGGAGTTTAGCATGATGATTGCGTTGGAGCATGTTAGTGGGGAGTTTTGGTTGGCGAGGTTGCAGGAGAAGTATAAAGATCCTCGTGATCATGAGGTTGTTCGTGCTGAGTTCAGACTTGGTCCGGAGGGAGTGAGAGAAGTTGGTATCGATCTGGAGCCGACGATGGATGGGGAGTTGATCTGGTTTCGCAGGGTGAATTGATTCTCTATGGTCGTTATACTTACTAATGTCTGATTCTTAATCAAACTATTTTTATTTTGAGAAAAAGAGCAGAACGTAAGTCATCTTGAGCATTGTAAGTAATAGATGTCCTCCTTAAGCTATCTAATCAGCATAACGCGCCATGTTGGATGGCCGGGAAACTGGATTGTAAATGAGTGTCAAGCATGGGCCATGTTGGATGGCGTCAAGCATAATGATTCCAAGGGAGCAGTTCCCTATACCACTAATGCTGCACGCAAAAGAGGTCAATAGTCACTTCCACGGCTGATCACCTCCTTGCATGACTCTCGCAACAATATCGTCTGCAAAACAGGGTTAGCTCTGGTTTCCTCGTAGCAGTATCAGAGCATACTCACATGTTCAAACTGTGCCGAGTATGATCCCTTCACATCCATCAGAGGCGCGTATTGCTCCACAATCCCATTGTTTACAAGACTGTTCATCTGTTCCAGAATGAGCACACTTTCCGGTTGACAGGATGATCAATTACTTACACCAGCTAGATAGCGCTCAACTCCAAGCCGTTCGAGGTAGCGGCGACAGAAGACAATCGAGCCGAAATTATCGTTGATCGTCTTATACAGAGATCTGGCCGAGGCGAGAGGGGACGCCACCCTCTTCGGTGCGTTCGGGTCTTTTCCATACCCGTAGACGCCGAACTAGCCTGTCTGTGAGCACCTGAACTCATATCAAGCAAGCAAGGGGAAACGTACGCCTTCCACTGTAGAGCCACGACCCGTCGAGCCAAATGTTTCGATGGCAAAGATCTCCCCCTCTTCCATCTTCGTTTGGCAGGAATTTTTCACAAATGGAATTGACTTCCCACCGTGAATCTGATAACGGTTGATATTATGCCCACTAATATCGCGTACCGGCTTCACAGGGAACACCTTGCCGCCGATTTCAACCTCATAGCTTTCCATCGCCTCTTGGATGGCAGCACTGACATCGCTGATACGAACATCGACTCCAGCATTCTGAACATCGTTAGCTGCGCCCTAACCTCCAAGACACCAGAACTCTTTCCTACCTTGATACCGGTGTTCGTAGCATCCTTAACGGCGGCAAGTAGATTGTCATAGGTTGGGTCAAATGACATTGTGAACGCACTGTCAACAATCCAACCATTTATATGGACACCAAAGTCCACCTTCATCACATCGCTTGCTTGCAAGACGATATCTTTTTGGCCCGGATTAGGCGTGTAATGCGCAACGCAATCGTTCAAAGCGAGTCCAGTGGGAAATCCCATTCCCGACTGGAGACACTGCCCAGTCTCGAGGCCAGCATTGTCCAGTAGCGCTCTCACGCCATCCTCAATGCCCACGGCAATCTCCGTGAGAGTTTGGCCAGGTCGAACGGTCTCCTGAGTCCAGTGTCGGACCTGACGATGTATCTCTGCTGCCTTGCGATAATCATTGAGGACACTGTCATCCTGAAGATGATTCCGAGACAGGTATCGGACTTCCTCGGCCGTCGTGCGAGCTGTACCCTCGACGACGGGTCCATATTCGTGGATCTCGCCGACTGGGAACTGGCCCGTGGGGAAAAGGTCATCCAATGGGACCCGTGGCGGCGAGGACTGCTGTAATGCCGAGGTTTTCTTCTTGGGCTTTCTTCGTTTCTTTTTCTTCCCGGTCGTTTCCGACGAAGGCTGTTGTTGGGTTAATGAGGTGGCGGCAACGGCGCCATCCTTATCGTCTCCATCGGCGCCGTCATCCCCATCGCCATCCCCCAAACTGCCGTCGCCGTCCCGGGACAGATGAGCGCCTCGCGGCTCTCCGCCAGCAGAATTGGGACTGGTTGAGTTGGACGGGTCATCTGCAAGGAATCAATAAGTACGACTCTTACTAACATAATGGAATGGGGGTTGAATTCATCCTACCGCGTCTCTGGCCCTCGCCTTCATATGTTTTGGAGCCCATCCCGACATGAAGAATCGGATCTTGACAAACACCCGAGAGTGATTATAGTTGATGGAGAGGTGGCATGGGGGGTTTGCAGTTTCAATTTTCAGTTGTAGCTGACCTTCGCACTAGTTCCTGTTTGGGTATAGCGCTTTATCTGCCTAGTTTGAGTAGTTAATATGCAGATAACCATTCATTAATTAATTACTCTGTACTCTGTACTTACTCCCTGTTTATCACCGGGTGAAACAATCCACTTGTACAATAGTATATACCTACTAGTATCACATTGACGTAATATAGAGAATGACATTCCAAACAACACGACCGTCTCCCACACTTCTAATCCCCTCCAAACGGCCTCTTGCCGTCCCCAAGAACCCCACCCTCTCTCTCACGACCGCTACATACCCGCCGATCCATATTCGTTCAACATCAACGTCGACGTCTACATCGGCAGTGTCCGAATCTAAATCCAAATCCAAATCTACCTCAACGGATCACCATGTGGAGCTAACGTCTCGGTCCACCACTGTCGAGTATGATTTCTCGTCCGGTCCGCAGCCATTCTTGGATCCGGCCTTGTGGGAGAATGTGAAGGCGGTGGATCGGCTGCGGAGGGAGGGTGACGGACTCGGGGAGGGAGATGTCTCCGTTAAAGAAAAGGAGGAGGAATTGAGGAGGAAGAAGGAGAGGGAGGCGGAGTACGGAGGGATGGCTGTTCGGGGCAGGATGGGGCGGTGGAAGTGATTCATTCCGTTTCTTTCGTCACACTGGACATCTCCTTGTCCCTTCATGTTTCTTTTTACTACATAGATCTGGAAGATTCAGAAACATGGGTCAATATATATGTTATGATTGTGCATTTGTTATCTTGTATTTCTCGTCATGGGGGGGCAAATTTATAATCTCATCAAAGTAGGCGTATGATACAGAGAACACACATAATGCGAAATGTCACAGCGCCCGAGCAATCATCGTGCTGGATCTCGTGTTCCGTGGGTCCATCATTCGTGACTCGTCAAGCATCAATATAGTTGCAACAGAAAGATGAACATATTAAAGAAAAGAGCATATAAAGAACAAGAAAAGAAACATGGATCGTTGAGGCATGATTTGTCATTCGTCATATCGGTCGTGTCATGCTGGTCATTCTCGAGCATCATCGGTCATGCCACACAAGTTACTGCACCATACTCCGCGTCTGCGTGCTGGAATCCACGAGGACAGCTTCACCAATGCTCTGCTTCAGTGCCTCGCGTCGGGCCTCTCGCTTGCCCTCGGCACGCTGCTGCCAACTGCGTCTCAAACGCTTACGGAAGCTGCGCACAGAACCAAACCGAAGCCGCAATCGCCACCATGAGAGGGAGCGATACCGTCGCTGGTGAAGAGAAGTTTGCGAATACAACGCCTCCGGCATGAATACGCGACTGCCCACGAGACTGTCCCGGGCCTGGCGACGGGAAGCCGCCTCATCGAAAGACCGTTTTGTGTCAATGCTGCGAGGAGAAATGGGAGGCCCTTGAAACACAACCCGCTGTTGTGGCATCCCCAAGGAGTTGCTAATGATTTGGTCCGCCTCTAACGTGGGAGGACGAAAGTTTTGTTCTCGAGGAGACTGGTCTTCGGATTCCGATGTATCTTCCCAAAACCGACGAGGCCTCCAGAAAGGGTGGAGTTTGCCGTCAATATCTTTCCCTGCCATGCGGTTTTTCGCCGATGTCACCGAGAATGATCGGGCAATGGAATTAAAGGAATCAGAACGAGGCCGGAGCTTCCAAGGGCGTCGAATCGACCCGAATCGGCGAGGGGGCTGCTCACCCGTTTCCCCATGTCCTGTGCCCCGTTCGGGCTCGCGATCTGCCTCATTCACCGGGGTGGGCGGGCTGACCTTACACACTGGAGGATTCGGCGGCTGGCGCGGGTTCTGCAGCGGGGAGTCTACCTCCCCCTGTCCTGGGCTTTGAGGGAATTCCGGCTTTGCCGGACTGCCTTGGTATTCCACTCGAATTGCTAGCCCTTGAGCGCCAGGCCGCTGCTGTGGGTCGACCAGTAGGAGAGATTCATTGTTGTGTGGGAAAAATGGCACCAGGGTAGCTTCACTAATCTCAACTAGCCCTGGCGATGACGACGGGATTGACCCTACCGTGAAAGCCCCTGACGGCGAGCGTAAATGGGCCATGTCCTCTACCCCGATAAGAATGGACTGTGTCTTCAACACATCGGCCCGGTCACGTACTAGCGGTGCCTTCTTGGGCTCAGGCATCGGTGGCTCAGGCTGCCAGGTTTGCTTTTCGGTCTCCACCGCCGTCGGCTGATTCCGCGAACTCACTGATGTGAGGGACGTGGCTCGTGAGTTATTCTGGCTGGTCGGCGCGGATAACGACGAGCTGCGTGGAGGGATGATGGGCCGACCAAGGCTGCGACCCCTGCAGTCTGTGTCCTGATGGGTGGGCGCACTGGAATTCGACAGAGTGCGCCTCTTTTGGGGCGGGCGATCAACTGACTCCGGTCTGCTCCCCGATCTCGTCCGTGTTCGGCGGCTCGATGGCTGAGAGCTGGCATTCGACGGCTTTCTGCTGGTCGAGGCCGAGGATTTCAAAGATGAATGCCGCTCCGGGATCACCACAACCGGAACAACCTCCACATGCTGCCGAGGGCCACCCTGGGTTGAGTCCTCAGAGATGGACATCTCCGACGCGATACTTCTGCGATCATTCTCAGAAATACGGGCAGCCTTGTGAACCAAGCGGTGCTGCGAATCTGGATTCGAGACCAGGGATCCACGCTCTGACCTCGTGATGGGAGAGCTGGTCGAACGCAGCGAAACCCTCTTCTCTGTATGACGAAGGGAGGGTATATACGGCTCGGGTGTGTCAACAATCATTACTTCTATTGTGGACGATGTGGACACGCCCGAAAATCGGCGAGTATCATCGTGGTTGTAGGAATCCGTCCGGCCCTCCGGAGAGCTCCAGTCGATCTTTTCAGAATACTGCTCTGGATATGGACTGGCCCCGGTGTCCTGAGCATCTCGAACTCGAACGCGTACATTCCTCTCGCGCGTTCGTGGGACATCCAAGTCGTGCGCGCTTGTGTTATACGTATCCTGAGGCTGTTCCGGTACGTTTGCGGTGGGGGGAGTATCGGAGGAATGGTTCCTTGAGCGCCTACGCCTCTGACGTGACGCAGCAAATCTGTCGGTGTTCTCCGTTGCCCATTCTCCGTTGATACCTTCGTACCGGGATGGCTTTAATAACATGGCATCGGAGTGGTCAACGGCAGATGTGGCGTCGTCTAGCCTGGCATCTTTGGGTTCTGATTGAACACTCTTTTGTAGTGACCTCTGCCTGGTCGACTGACGCGACGACGGGGACGATCGGTGAGGGGTCTCGGCCTCACCGTCGGAGATCATTTCGCATGCTGTTTGGAAAGACTCGGCACGAGACGAACAAGAAGCCTGGCGAAATTGACCGCCAATTCCAGGTCGATAGGTCGTGGCAGGAAGTCGAGGCGGCGTCGTTTCTGGCGTTGGGGGGTGCGATGGTCTTGAAGGTGTCACCGTTCCAGACATGGAGTGCGGCGAGGTGAGCTTTTGCATTTCCAGCGCTTTTGGAGTTGGAGATTCATCTAGAGGAACACCAGGGGGTGTTAAAGGAAGAGCGGGCACCGATGCGTGAGCACCGCCATTTGAAGTGTCAACGATGGGGTCAGATGGAGACGCGTGGATGACATGTACACTTGGATCGCCATTTGGCCTTCGGGGAAGTGACTTGTGGGCCCTGAATAGCGGCCGGCCCAAATGCTCTAGTGAGGCGGGAGACGTGCCAGCAATGCCGGGCATGTTGACCGAAGAGCCCAACTGCACCGTAAGCCCAAAATCACAACGTTGTTGGTCACCCGGTTTTATTGGCAAAACTCGAATAATATTACCAAACTATGGGGCCGCTGAGGAGTAATATCATGATACCAAGACTGTTTCGAATAAGATTGGTCCAGGAGGGTTAATGCTGGCGTCGCATAGCGAAAGCAAGGCGATCTGATCGGTAGGGTCGAGTTTCGACACTACGATCCGACCGAAGGCAATAAAATGAGAAAATAGAATAAAATAGAATAAAATGAAATAAAATAAATAAAAAAGAAAGAAATATATATATAGTTGACCACAGGTGTGTGATTTCAGCCTTTTTTTTTTTTTTTTTCTTAAGATTAATAGTCAGAATGCAATCTTAAAAATCAGAAGTATAAGAAAACGAATAATAATAAGAATCAAGCAAGGGCAGCGTAAGGGTACCGGTCGGGAAGCGCGTCTCAATGGAAACCAAAATATATGGGAGATCCACTCTCAACAGTCAATAGTCCAGAGGCTGAAAGACTCCGAAAATAGAGTACCCAACTTTAAAACCAAATGTGAAGAGGCAGGGCGCGACACGCAGGGAGTGAGTTGACCGCGTTGGTACCAAAGAGATGATGACTCGAGTGCGACAGCGAGGCGATGAAAGGGACATTCCACGTTGCGGATCCGATGTGCAAGTGGATTGTTTCGGGTGGACCAGAGCCAGATGAGAATGATCCACAGATAGATTATGAACCTGTCGTGATCATGACCCGTGTCCGGTGTAAAAAATATCCTAAAATCGATATCGTAGAGTTGTCGTTCACACACACATGAGGACACGATACATGAAGAGGCGGGGAGGGGAAAGGAAGAAGTTGAAATGCTGACGAGGGGTAGTGGACTTGCAGAGCCAAAGTCCTAATCAAAATTTAATTCCTTCGTTAATTCGGTTTTTCAACCCCTGCAGCAAAAGGTTCTTTTTAGTCCCAAACACTTTCATTCGCCCATATTGTACGACGGTCCGTAGAGTCGCACTGAATAAATACATGCTGAGGTACTACTAGTGATTCCATATACTATACTGCTACGACTACGATCTTTTTGTCCCACTCAATGTCATTGGCTGTACATTTTTATTCCGATTGATTTTCAATTGATTCTCCTCTATTTTATTCTACGTTAGTATGAACCGGACCTTCAACAGCATGTCATAGATAATGCTAATCAAGCTTATCATTTCTGATTCTCTCGGGAGTGGCGTCTCGTGCCCATGGTTGCCGAGAGCATATTAAACCCCCCATTTAAGTCCAAAAAAGTTGTTGCTCAGTCAAGGAACCGGTCGCGGGAGGACTTTTGGTTCCCTTTACAGCAGGAGATTTGGATCCCAGACAAGGTTGGAAAGGTATGAAACAGATCCTGTCTACTCATTTAGGGTGTATGGATCGCCTGGCGTAAGGCACACCCGCAGGCTTTCCATATAGTATCCTCTGTGCTGTGTGTATGTATGTATAATTGAGATGATCATACGGAGTAGAGGAAGCATCGTACGGCTATATGCTACATGCCAGAGCGCTATTCATATTAACCTTTTTTAACTATTTTCTTTTTCATGTTTTTCGTTCTCATTTCTTCTGTCGCCATCTTTACAGAGTTCGAGTCGAAACCCCAATACTATGACGAAAGAGGATCTGGGAGGAAGAAAACCGGGGTGTGCGTATGATATCAGTTTACTGGTACGGTACCTGTTCAATATGGATGAGGAAGGTGACGGACGGGTATGGTACCGTATGGGACCAAGTTTAACCCATCTATTGGCATTTATGATGTTACGTTCATGAAAGCGAACCACAAGACAATGAGAGGAAAAGAGAGAGAACACAACACAAGAGACCATAGTTGGTTGTTAGAGGCTGAGTCATCGGATGACATAACCGCCTGCCCCAGATAGTCCATCTCCATTCGCGACGTCATCGTTGAACAGTCTCTTCATAATGACGAGAAAAGCGAACAATAAAAAATGGGGGAAAGAAAGCAATCGAACAGGAATTTCCGGTTTGGTTTCTCAATTGAATTATGATCAACCGTCGATGAGGTAGGTCGCGAAAAGGGACCTTCTTGGGGATCTCTGGCATCGATCGTCTCATCTGATCTCTTTTAAAAGAAGATACTCAACCTCAGCATCCGTCACTGTTTTCCCCACCATTCATTTCTGTCCTCTGATTCCTTCATTAATTCGCTTCCTTCCCCCGTCGTCGCATTTTAGAATTAAGTGCCCCGTTCCCTTGACTACTACAACATTGATTAGGGAATCCTCTACCTATTTATTATTCTTTTTTCTCTCTTCTACTTCCTCTCTGAAGCCTTTCCTCCAAAAAATAAAATAAAAAATAAAAACATTCTATTTTGATTTATATCACATTTTGGGGATAAACTCTGACCACTGGAAACGTTACCAGACGTTTGTTTGCCTTTCCTACTACTATTTTCCCCCACTGACGCCAGCCCAGACGCGGCGGGGTAGGAAAAGGAAGTGCAAAAAAAAAAAAAAAAAGTGGAAAAAGAGAAATTTTACAAATTTAATTAAAGAGAGGGAACAGAAAGAGGAAAGGTTAAAATTTCCTAGTTGAAGAGAAAGAAAATACGAACATCCTACTAATTTCCCCCCCCCCGGCCGAGAACTACCATCATCACCAACGTCATTAGACCCGATATTCTCTCATCATCATTATTATTTTTTTTTTGCCTCCCTTGTCCGATTTCCCATTCCTTTAACTTGTGTCCTCCTTCCCCCGACGCCCGCCTCTCCTCTTTTCACCCCCACTCCCTTACTTCTTTTACCCCCTTCCTTTTTCTTTTCTTTTCTATCTTTTTTGGAACTGAATTGATTACTCAGCATCATGAGTACCATTCAAAATTTGAAGAATTTCATACGTCATGGGAAACAAGCCCGCTTGGTAACTCCCCATGCCGAGCCAACCACCAATGTTTCTCCCATACATGCCGAGCATCAACGTCAACCCCAAGGCTCGTACCCTCCTGCCGCAGGCAACCTAGATGCCATTGACAGCAGGCTTGGGAACGGTCAAGCTCAAGCGCCTCAGAAGTCATCGGCGGACTCTCAGACGAGGCGAGCCCGTGATCAAGAGATCGAGCAGATTGTCGCGGAGGAGAGAAGCCAACGAAACAAAATGCCTAAGTACCCAGGACTGGAGCGCTGGATCTTGACGGACAAGATGGGCGACGGCGCCTTCAGTAACGTCTATCGCGCCAAAGATTCTACGGGGGAGCATAACGAAGTAGCGATTAAAGTCGTCCGCAAGTTTGAAATGAATAGCAATCAGGTAGGCTTATTTGGACTTAGCTTCTTCTTGTTCTCCCGATACCACTCCCCTCTTTCACAATCACCCTCATCTGCTCGGAGTTAATACTCGTTCTCTTCCTGTATGCTTAAACCAAACCATTTGCCGTCTCTCTTAGTCCGCCGCCCATCTACATCCCGAGGTCAAACATACCAAGGTTACGGAGGTGCGCAAATCTCTTAGCCACGCTAGACTGACCCGAAATCTTTCTCATTTCCTGTTACGTCTCGATTGCCCTTTGTGTTTTCTGTTTCTTACCGAGCAAGTTATATTAGGGTAGGTTTGCTGATTGCGATTCACAGCGCGCCAACATTTTGAAAGAAGTCCAAATTATGCGCCAAATAGACCATCCGAACATTGTCAAGCTGATCTCATTTTCTGAATCACGCCAATATTACTATATCATTCTGGAACTCTGTCCGGGCGGCGAACTGTTCCATCAGATCGTACGGTTAACCTACTTCAGCGAGGATCTAAGTCGGCATGTCATCACCCAGGTTGCAAAAGCAATTGAGTATCTGCACGAGACCTCCGGCGTTGTCCATCGGTATGATTCTTCGGATACCTTCAGACAACCTGATCGGTGGCTAACAGCGTCTCCAGTGATATTAAGCCGGAGAATCTTTTGTTCTATCCTATTCCCTTTGTTCCAAGCAAGAATCCCAAACCTCTTCAACCCGGTGATGAGGACAAAGTCGATGAAGGAGAGTTCATCCCCGGGAAGGGATCCGGCGGGATTGGTGTTATTAAGATTGCCGATTTCGGTCTCTCCAAAGTCATCTGGGATAGTCAAACTATGACTCCTTGTGGGACTGTTGGTTACACAGCCCCAGAAATTGTCAAGGACGAAAGATACTCGAAGAGTGTCGACATGTGGGCTTTGGGTTGTGTGCTTTACACTCTCCTCTGTGGTTTCCCGCCTTTCTACGACGAGAGCATCCAAGTCCTGACGGAGAAGGTGGCGCGCGGCCAGTACACTTTTCTGTCGCCGTGGTGGGACGACATCTCGAAGTCTGCGAAGGATTTAATCTCCCATCTCCTGACGGTAGATCCTGAACAGCGATACTCGATTAAAGAGTTCTTGGCCCATCCGTGGATACGTGGAAGCGACGAAGAAACCCAGGCGGCCACAGACGCTCCCCCCCTAACGACTCCTCTGCCCTCCGCCCGCCAACAGCCATTGGACGCCTTCGCGGCGGACCAGGCACCATATGCTCCAGCCAGCGCTCGACTGTTGGACCAGCCCTCCGCCGGCTTGGAACGCCCCATGGACTTCCGGTCGCCCGGGGCGATCAACTTGCGGGAGGTTTTCGATGTGGGCTACGCCGTCCATCGCCAAGAAGAAGAAAGTAAGCGGCTGAAGACGTCCCGCGGCCGCGGGGCCAATCCGACCACCGCATTCCAGTCGGCTCTGAATCCCCTCAACGAGGATTATGACGAGGATGGCCCGCAAGTCACATATCAGCCCATTCACCAGAATGAGTATGCGGCGCCGAAGGTCCACAAGGGCTCGCAACAGTCTCGAGAAGTGGCTGCAATGGAAGCCAAATTGCGATCCACAAATCTGGGGGCTCAGCCAAGCGCTGCCGCCCAAGCACGACAGGCATATCAGCCACGACAGCCGCAGCAGGGCTACGGCACACATAGTGCTAAGGTGGCAGCGGCAGCCAAGCAGAATATTGCTCGGTCATCGCGGCAACCTTTCGAACTCAGTCTGGATAACGCGACATTATTAGAGAGGAGGGGTAGGCGGCATCAGGTTGTCTGAAATCTTAATATCTCCTTCGAAATGAATTTTTACGACTAAGAACGATGGGCCATGAATTCTATTCCATGATCATTGGGTGGTAGGATCGCATTTGTCTCGGGTGTTATTCCCTTAAGGTTCTTTTTCTTCTTCCTTTTTCTTTCTGGATATTCAGGTTCGGGCAAGGCATTTTTTATGGGCTTTTATTGGGTTTCTCTACGGGGATATCTGCGTTATTTTTGATGTTCTGTTACTTGCGCCCTTTTCATTATTTTTTGTGGCATATGGAGAACGCGGGACATAGGGATTACTTGCATTTCGAAGAAGTCCGTCTGTTACATTGGCCTCGTTTCCGCGTAAACTCTCCTTGATGTTGTACAGTACAGAAGTAACAGAGACATGCATATCTAGATATTTATGTACTCAAAATGCTCTGACAATTCCTCCTCGCTCTGTCACCTGATCTTCAGCCCTAAGGCCGCAAACATGTGGAATACTTACTAGGAGCGTATCCCCCATTTGAGGCATTTAACATTCATAAGTCGTTTTCTTTGTTCTTTTACCGCTCAAGAATTTCCACCATAAATGAATAAACTGTACTTTTCATTGTCTATCTGAGAAAATGAGATACCCCACTTTTTTTTAGGGACAAAGGACCGGAAAAGTTGAGAAAACGAGAAGGAAAAAAGAAAGAAAAGAAATGGTATTTAATAAAATATATCCTTCTAGCTAGAAATGGCCATGCACAAGGGTATATGGGTATGAGTATATGTATATAACGGGCATATATGCTTTTAATTTTAGGAATGGACGGCAGGGAAGGAAAAGTAATCATTGATGTGTCGTGAACGTAACACCAATGCCAACATAAATCGAATCCAATGTATACATGAAAGTGAGTAAAAGGGTGTATATATATATATAGTCAGTCAGATGACATGTAGGGTTCTGTCCGAGAATAGGGGGAAGTAACAACTGGTATCATGCACATAACGTCACATAAACAGGGAAGTGATTTTTCTTATCCTACATCGACAAGGGAACATAAGGATGAGAGGAGAATAGAAACGGTCTAAAGAGTCTGCTTTCCTCTCGTTTCGATGGGGAAGAGACACATGGCGACGAAGGAAGCCAGCATGAGAGCGCCGGAGGCGTAGATGGGGGCGTTGGGGTTGGAGGAGCCGCTGTAGATGGCGACCAGGGGGGCGCAGAGGCCGGCGATACGGTTCAGACAGCTGGCGATACCGGTTCCGGTGCCGCGGTTGGGGGCAGGGAAGACCTCGGGAGTGTAGGCGTAGAGGACACCGTACATGATGTTTTGGAAGAAGGCTTCGAGAGAGGAGCAGAGGAGTTGGATGTTGGGGTCTGTGCTGGCGGTGAAGCAGAAGAGGAGGACGCCTGTGATCAGGGTGGAGATGATCATGGTGCCCTTGCGGCCGATGTATTTAATGTCGACGGTGAAGCAGGCTAGGATGGAGCCTGGGACGCCGACGATGGAGGTGATAGCATAGTTGCGGTAGACGATGTAGGTGGATTGTTCGGTAGCGCCGCCGGACTGTTTGAGGTATTGGGGCAGGAAGGCATTGAAGAGGGGGTAGCCCATTCCGATGGTGGCCCAGCAGAACCAGAGGAGGGCGGCTGTGGGGGTGCATGTTAGTTGCGTGCGGTGGGATCTCGAATAGAGAGGAAGGGAGGGGGGGGGAAGAGCTGGAGAAGGGAGACGTACTGTTAATACCAAGCTTCTTGGTGCCGAACAGAGGCTTGATACGATCCAGGGAAAACTTAGAAAGATATCTTCCGATGATCTCCTTGAAAGTAAGAGTCTGCTTTTCGACTTCTTCCGGATAGCCACCGATCTCGTTGAGGATCTCCTCGGTGAGCCAGGTTTGCTTTTTGTTCTTGTGGGCGATGCCGTGGACAGCATGCACAGCCTCGGCCTGGCGACCACGAGAGAGCAAGTACTTAGGGGACTCGTAGAGGTGGAAGAGGAAGAAACGGCAGAAGAACATCGCAAAGGTCAGAGCGCCCAAGGTGAGAACAAGGTATCTCCAGCCCATATTATCCTGCTTAGTGCAGCACTGGACACCATCGGCAACGTTGTTGCAGGACGGCAGGTCACTAGCGCAAGAGTAGGTTGGAATGTATGCCCATGCGAGCAGACTTCGTCGGCTGTTAGTCGGATTTATCAGGTATCCATATACGGTTGAGCATACCTGGAAATAAGTTGACCAATGGGCCACCAGACACTCAGCATGGTCAGGAGGTTGCCAGAGGCGAATGGCAGAAACTCCAAGAAGAGTGCGCCATCAACTGGAAGATTTCCACCAACACCGAGACCCAAACAGGCGAACAGGGCAGAGACACTGATTTATTCGTTAGCGGCCATTCGTCGTTAGGAGCAGGAAAAGAGAAGACATGCCCGACCCAGTTGGGACCACCCCCGGCGGCCAGACCGAACACACTGGTGATGAGGAGCGTCAGGTTGAAAGCAGGGCGACGTCCAATAACATCCGATGCAATACCCCAGAACGAAGCACCCAGGCAAAGACCCAAGAACAACGCGCAGGTGGTGAAACGGACACGACTTTCAGAGACACCAAACTCCGCGGACAGTTGAGTTAATGTTAGGGCAACACCCTACATAACCTTAGTACATGACCTGGGAACATCAATCAAGCATCTTCCGGTTTCTTACCTGTAACCAGAGACTAACCAAGGATTGTTAGCCACGAAATGAAATTATCAAGACAGGAAAATATCCGCTTACTTGTCTGCCAACCAACCACATCCACAGAGTGCAAACAGCTCCCATTGATAACGGCCCATGCCGATATCCTGAATGGCTCTGTTGATAACCTTTGCTTTGCCTATAAACAACGATCAGATCCGCATCTCCAGTAGGGTTATACGGGAAATTTGTCTTTGCTGCTTCTTTCTGTATATAGAGGGTGGGGGGCAAGTGTGTATTTCATGGGCAACAATCTAGGCACATACGGTCATATGCGGAGTCATGGCCGGAGGCAACAAGGTCTGTTTCGATTTCGGCGCGCAGGCTTTCAAGGGTCAAGTGGGCATTGTCAGAGAGTGAGGTGGCAACTCCATTCTCCTCGGAGGGAGCTTTGTCGCTTCTGGCGTCAGTCTTCTCGTCAGGACCAGAATCCTTCCTATGTAACGACGGGTTCGGGTGGGAATGCGCTGGGGCACTGCCGAGGGGCACGACCACTTCGGGGAAGTCGTGGTCGTGTTTCTTGAATGGGTTGAAAACCATGGTGCCGGTTCGTTTGCTGCTATGGACAGATGGGCTGGTGCGCTCTGGGAAGCTTCTCGATACCGGAGGGTGGGGATGGTCTACCGTCCAAGATCTGGGTTGTCAATTGGCAAGCTGTTCAAGGGAGGCTAAGTCTACTTTGGTCCGTTATAGTCGCAAAAGGCAATCTCTATCGGGCTTTTGATGATGCAGACCGGGGAAAGTACTGGCGCTCAAGGGCCGAGATGGTAAGGTGCAATGGCTGTTCAATTGGACTGGAAGCCGTTCAGGGTTTCATCAGTTGGGTGCTAGGGACCGTGATGGTGAGAAGAAAAGGCCGGGTTTGATTTTCTGTCCAAGGTTTTGGTCGAGTGTCCGTGTATACCTGAGGACAGCTGCTACTGAACGTGCGTCGAATAGCGGAAGAGGTGACAAGTATTCTGTCACGCTGATGATGATGATGGAAGAAGTTTGGTGTAGACAACAAGTGTCACTAAATGGTATATAGATCAGAAGGGAATTTGAGACAGAAAACTTTTGACGGTCCGTTTTGGCTTGATCTGATAATCTGGGGACAGAAATAGGGCGTATCTGTATTCCCTGGATGCAAAGATGATTTGGGAACAGGGAGAGGAAGCTGTGATAGCTATCGGCTTGGAGGATTGATTGGAAGTGTGGGGATGGAAGAGAGAGACAGAGAGATAAGTATGGAAAGAAGAGAGGTGAAGAAAGGCGACGAGGCAGAGAAGATGAGGAAACTTGGGGCCTATATAAGTATCCAATTCCTCCTACTAACCAGAGGAAATTAATTACAAAAAAACAAAAAACAAAAAGTGCAATATGGATAGAAATCGCGAAGGCCTTGTT